TACATTTAGATAAAAAAAAAACTTCGAAAATACTATTACAATTATTGTTAAGCGTTCGAGGGCCGCACTGGAAGTTCTCTGGGGCAGTTTGAGATCCCTGGTCTAGATTGAAGTTGTTCAAAAAATATATATGATAGTATTTTATCATGAATGATGATTATACCCCTTCCGGAATTTCTTCTATAGTACTACCAAAAGTTGATGAACCAAATATAACACAGGTGCAGTGAGGTACCCGTAATCCTCATTTCCAAAGCTGTTTTAAGTATGTCTGGCGTGTTTTGTGCCTTTTTACAAATAAGACCGCTTATGCAATCTTACGCTTTGGAATTTTTAGTTATTTTCCTCAAGCCCTGCAGGATGCGGGGGCCATAAACAACTCTACCGGAGGGTCAAATGTCTTTGCATGCCTCCATAGGTTGTTTTTCTATTGCAAACATTATATTTCTTGGAATCACACTGTCACTGATTTGTCGCCAGACTTCTGCTAATAAATCCAATATCTCATGTTTTATGTAAAAAACATTTTACTGAATTTGGTATATAAACCAACTAATAAAAGGGTTTAGTCAGAAAATTACAAGCATTCGTGGCTCCAAATACTTGAGAAATCAGACTATACAATATAGACCGGTATGAGTGAAATGTTAGGTGAACTTGTTAACACTTTGATTCAATACGCAAATGAAGGTGAATGCGCAATAGTATGTTACAATGAGCAGCAATCAACAATGAGTATATATCCTCACTGATTAAAAAAATCTAACTGGAGGTGCATGAACTATTTGAAACCATAAGGGGTAAGTAAATATGTAATTTCGGCAAATGGGCAACTACGTACCGTACTGAATTAATAACTTCGTAGTATTTGACAAAGGCTGGCTTTCCCACATGTACTTAACAGTGCGATGCCCGGGTGTGATATACAACAATAGTATTCACCTTACCTTTTACCGATTTCTTTTTACCCCAACTTTCAAAAATAGCATTAAAATCGACAACAACTGTCAAAGCAGGCACGAACGCCATTCGTGCTACGCCTCGAAAGCAGCACACATCCGCTCGTTTTCGTCTCGTCAAGTATGTGCATTGGAGCGTGCTATCGAATACGATCTTCGGACAAAAATGCCGGAGTTGCGCATCATGTTGTTTAATGTCATTGGTCTGAGCGACCAAAATCAAAACAATAAAGGTCAAAGGTTCATAGAATTTCAGTTAGGTATTTGTTTTCGGAAGCATGGACTCGAGGGTGGAGGAATCTGTCGTAACCGACCGTTACGTGTACCACCCTGCATTACAGGCAGTCACGACTACAAATATCTCATCCAGGGTTGGGCAATTACCTTTCTGAGTGGGTCAGTTACAGATAATAAACTTGGTTATTAGGCCGGAGGCTCAAACTTTATATGAAATAAAAACAGTTTGTCTTTACGGGTGCCGCTGCTCGATAACCAATATTTGTCCCCCCGCTCCCCTCACCCTGAAATACGTTTTAAATATTTAGCGTAATTTGTATATATAGTGTGCTTTTAGTATGATGAAAAAATGAACTATTGATCAATTGACTGATTATGGCAAAAAACAACACACAGCAACCCGTTACATACAAAATACGACGTCAAGCACCATCGAGCAGGGTCACCATAGTAACGGCATTCCTCAGACAACGCATTTCGTTAACGTCTGCTCCTGCATGTTTCATTTTCAGTTTATTGTTCGTTGAAGGCCGCTCTGTTATATTAAATATTTCTGCATTGTTTTTTATTGCATTGCAGGCTTTAGTCGCCGTTTGTGCTCCATCATTTTTCTTTCGTCGTTCTTTTCTCAGGCAGTTGTTTGCTGTCTTGTCTATAGCCATAGGCCTGTGGGTACCGGTATCGTACCAGTACTGCAGTACCGGTATCGTACCAGTACTGCAGTACCGGTATCGTACCAGTACTGCAGTACCGGTATCGTACCAGTCTTGCAGTACCGGTATCATGGGGTATGTATCCTTGTTCATTCCGCAGTCAGGCAATGATAGTTCAGGAGATTCTGGATTTCTTAGGCGCTGGTCTGCCTGTAGGCATAAACTAATCTATCTATTTTAATTTTAAAATAGAATAGCTTTACCAATTATAGAAACAATGCTGATTCAAAATTTTGTCTTTATTAATTATTCTAATGCCCATTATGGATGGAGTCTAAATAAACTTATAACTTAAAATAGTTATTCGGATGAAGACTGGCAGAGAAAGAATTGTTAATGAGACAGTAAGATGAAGCCGCTCTAGAAGTATGTGAACCAAGATGGCAAACACCGGAACGTAGAATGTGTACCGGTACCAGGTTAGGATTAGGCCATAAATTGATTCCAATTTATCTTATTTTAGGTCTAATACAAGTTCGGAGACTAGCCAAGTGACTCCCATAGTATATTTGTACCTGAAATAATGACCTAACCCTAATCTGGTACACATTCTAGCGTCCGCCATCTTGGTTCACATACTTCGGGAGTACCGATGAATGTTTGAAAATTTATCTGCTTTTGGGAGTGGATATTCTAGAGTATGAGGATAATTGTTTTTCTTGCCATTGGATCCTGAAAAGATTGAAAATACGCCCCTATAGTCTATAAATGCTGCCATAAAAAATGCGACAAGACAGACAACTCAACAGTTCTCTCTGCAGTCGAGGTATATCTGAGCCGCCCTCTGTATTTTCACCTTTTGTTAATTTTTTGTGTAAACTAGAATCACTATCGAGTCTATTAATGTGAAACAAAAGTAACTGGTTAACTGTTCCCATACTTGGCATAGACTGGTAACTCAGTGAGACACTGGGGTTTACTTTTTAAGCCGTATTGTCTCTTTCCTACTCCCCTGAATAAGTATGGAAGTCTTACAAATACAGCGTTCAGAAACCCGCTTCCATCAGATTATTCCATGTTACTTTGCAAGTCTTAGCGTCGTAAAGAACATTTCATCATTATTCAAAATACGGTTTCTAAATCTTTTGCCATTTTTGAAAGGTTCATGTTACTATTGGTTGTTCCACCCCTTCTGTATGAACATACAGTGATTTGAACATAGTGTGATTTTTTGCAATTCTGTCAGCTGATATTCCACAATTTTTGCTAGCTTCTCAGAGCTGATATGAGGACACTGGTCAGATATTCTAGTATTTGATTTTGTTTATTTCTGTGGGGTTCAGCATAAGTGTAACAATGCAGCCACCATACTGACTTCTTTAGCAATCATGCTTAACCTAATATGTACTAAGTAAGCACATGGTTAAAAATGGGAAGTGAGGCATGACTGGTCAGAATATTTTTATCCTATTTCATAAGAACTTGTGCTGCTATTTCTAACATATTAGGTTATCGGGTTAGGTTGAGATCAAATCGTACCAAAGTCCCAGAGTTTTGCAATCCATTACAGTATGGACTAAATCTCTAGAATGTTCCAAATATTTAGTTATATTGAACAAACACTTTATCTGTCCCTATAGCGAGAAACGTATTTTTTGGTGGGATTGTACTATATTTGGTGTGTACTTGTGTTTGCGTTGGCCTCAAAATTAAGGTTATGATAAAAAAAATCATCTATACATTTCAAATCATATTCTAAATGCAAATTGTATATGAATATTGGTACTCTTGTAGTATGAGAACCAAGTTGCCGAACACCGGAACAAAGTATGTGTACCAGGTTAGGGTTAGGCCATAATTTCAGGTACGAATACTACGGGAGTCACTTTGCTAGTCCCCGAACTCGTAATAGAACTAAAATAAAGAAAATTGAAATGAAAATAGGACCTAACCTGGTACACATACTACGCTCCCGGTCTCCATCATATTGGTTCACCTAATTCTGGAGAGCTCGAATAAATAGTTAATCATGACGGTCAAGTCAGTTTTTCAGATGAACCAGTTTTCAGGTCATGATCATAGATTGCGAAACAGTGCTAATAACCCACATAGTCCTAAATACCCATTCTGAAATGTTGGTAAGCCCTTCTGAAGCATTTGTTTGAATTTTTACCCCTTGATTTTTAATGTTCCTTATAACTGTGTTTAATTTTCTGATAAAAAATGAGACATACGTTTGATAGAAATTTAAATTGTCTTCTACAAATTGTCTTCTACATGGCATTTTATAACTGATTTATTTAGCTTTAAATTGCAGAGTCATTAGTTAGAAATATCAGTAAAATGCCTCTCGAAATAAAAGTGAAGACTGATGGACATGCAAATAGGATTTTACAAGACTTGAACAGGTGAGTGTTCTTCAGGGATGCCTAAAACAATGCGGTTAAAGCTATGTTTCCAACCGTGAATGAAATATTTTCTATGGAGGAGGGGTATTATCATTTTTATGGGGAAATTATGCTATGTATTTGTTTTAGTTCTGTGTTTTTACTATAGATTCAGATTCAGATATTTTATTTCGTCGTGCATGAAACATTGTCAACAAATAATAATAAATTTAAATAAATCAAAAATACACAATGTTTCGCAATTGACGAGGAGTCGCGAAAGACTATTAAGTCATCGTGTCAGCGACACCTATATGCTGGATTACAGCAACAGATATAGCAAAAGACTTGGGTTTATCACGTACAATACGGTACTAAAAAGCATAGAAACAACAACAACGGATGATAAATAAAATACGGAAATATGAAGAGCCATGAGGACTTTAATTAAGGAAACCGGTACCGCTTGACGAGCGCAAGGGCGCCATCAAGCGAATGCGATATACCTCAATGTACACAATTAAACGAGAATAACGCTTAACATGACTAAGCACTTTGAAAACTGGATCGGCGTGCCCAGCAACGTTAATTTCAATTTGACAGAACTTTACTGGCTTAATGAACTGATGCATGCTGAAGCATGCATTTCTTTCACATTTAGGTTATATGATAAAAAGTTGTCGAAAGTGAAAAACAGAACTTGGCACATACAGAGTAAATGACGATGCGAATTTAGAATACAGAGGAAGAACACGATTGCATCTCGGTATGGTACCGGTAACGGTTCAGGGAATATACGACTAGAAGAAGATCAGACACATGAAAAGGCAATGTTTTCAGACTACTGGCAAAAATAAACATCAAGGTAATGATTTTTCAATGCATGTTTGAAGGAGATGTAGTTCATTGATCGAATACTGTCAGTGAGCGTGTTCCATAACTTGACACCAACCAATTTGATGGAGTTTTGAGTAAGCTTGGTGGAAAAGCGATCCACAAAGTAAGAGCCTTTAGCAGATGACCGTGTCCCATAGGAGTGAATACTGCTCTGCTTTGAAAAGTAGTTAGTGAATGCTGCAGGGAGTTTATTGTTATGGTGTTGATGCATTAACTTTAACACTTCAATTCTATGTATATCTACAAGTTTAATAATTCTTAGTTTATTATAAATAGGACTTAGTTGTGTGCGATAAGCAACATCAGAAATAGCGCGAATGGCCCGATTCTGCATAATTTCTAATCGGTGCAATAAAGATTTATCAGCAGAGCCCCATGCAACTACGCCATATTGAATATGGGACTGGAATAGGGAGTAGTAAACCATGCGTAATGTAGGTAGCGATGTAAATCTTTTAAGTTTATATAATATCCCAACCGACTTGGATAATTTAACGGCCAGGTTTGAAATTTGTGTATCCCATTTCAATTTGTTATCAATATATATGCCAAGGTATTTATAAGAAATAACGTTTTCAAGTTGTGTACCATCAATTTGGATTGACAGACCATTTAGAGATTTACGCCTATATGGTGATATTAACAATGTTTTAGACTTTTCTATATTTATTGTTAGTTTGTTAGATCTCATCCAATTAGCCACCTTTGCAATTTCAGCGTTTGCTCTTGATTGAAGAGCTGCATGGGATTTGTCGCTGTCGAGGAGGCTAGTGTCGTCAGCAAACAATTTGGTTGAGAGCGAAGAGCAGTGAACTATGTCATTGACATATACTAGGAAAAATAATGGGCCCAATATACTACCTTGTGGAACTCCGTGAGTCACTGGTAAGAGAGAGGAACAATAAGTTCCCACTTTGACATATTGTGATCTATCGCTTAGATAACTAGTAATTAGTTTATTTGCTTGTCCCCTGATGCCATAATGATTCAGCTTGTAAATTAAAATGTCATGATCCACAGTATCAAAAGCCTTTTTTAAATCTAAAAATGTTGCGCTAACGAACTCTTTTTTCTCTAATTTATCATAAACATAAGATATTGTATCTAAAATGGCGTGGGATGTCGAATGATTATTCTGAAAACCAAACTGAGATCTGTTTATAACATTATATTTAGTGAAAAAACTAATAAGTCGCTTATGGATCAAGCGCTCAAATATCTTATCAATCGATGAAAGGATTGATATCGGTCTATAATTTGGAACACATTTCTTATTTCCAGATTTGAAGAGGGGATTACTCGAGCAATTTTGAGACACGAAGGAAAGATTCCTAACGAGAGAGAACAATTAAAAAGTTCAGCTAAACATGGCGAAATGAGGTCAGCAACAAGTTTAAGGAACCGTGCTGGAATATTGTCTGGACCTACTGCCTTCCTATCTTTCAGATTTTGTATTTCTATTATCACTTCGTTTGAATCAGTCAAACTCATGAAAAGGACTGGCTTACACGATTGCGAAGAAAATGTTTGAAGCTAGTCATATCATTAGAAAACTTGTCTGAGAGACTGGACCCAACCGTTGAAAAGTACTTATTGAATTCGGTAGCGATTGAAATACCATCTTTAGTGATACAGCCATTCTCTCGGAAGATTTCATCAACATTTGATTTGGATTTATTATTTGTATGTGTAATTTGGTTAACTATCTGCCATGTTGTCCTTGGATTACCTTTGTTTTGGGCAATAAGATTTTGGTAATAAATTTGTTTTGCTTTATACAATGTTTTTGACAAAACATTTCTATAATTTTTAAAGTAGGAGCGTTGAGAGCTGTTACCTTTCAGAAAATGGGATTTGAAAATCTTATTTTTGTGTCGAATACAGCTATTTAACCCTTTACTCAACCAGGGCTTTAGTTTTAACCTTTTCTGTCGTCGTGAAAGTGGCCGAAGGGGAGCATGGCGATCAATTAGAGTATTGATTGATAGTATAAATTCTTCAAAAGCACTATTGTAGTTCAGGGCATTCAATTGAAATGTATCAAACAAGTTATCAAAAATGCTCTGTGCATCTGTGCGAAAAGGGTCAATCGAGAAGTTTGACATGTCCCTAGAAATTATGCAATCATTTTTATGAATAGGTGTTACACCACTAAGAGAACACATTATTGGGAAATGGTCTGTTATATCTGATAGAACAACATAGGAATTAATTTTCAAATTTGTCAAATTGGTGTACATGTGGTCAATCAATGTTGCAGAAGTTTGACCTACTCTAGTGGGTTTGGTTATCAAGGAGAAGGCATTATGAGAAATGAGCATATTAACATAATTGATAATTTGGACATTACTGGATGTTGAAAGCAAGTTAATGTTAAAGTCACCGACTATCAAAAAGTGTTTCTTAGCCAATTTAGCTAAAGATATTTCAAAAATATCAGTGAAATAAGTTATGTCATTACGAGGATGTTTATAAATAATGCCAATAACCAATCTGCTAACAGTATTTGCCAAACTGATCTCAAACCACAAATTTTCGCAGTTGGAATAGACGATATTATAATCTGTAATTTCATTAAACGTAACGTCATCCCTGATAAAAGCAGCAACACCACCTGCTTTAGTGGCAGATGGGGCATGAAGAAAATTATAGCCATCGATGGTATTGAAGACATGATTTTGGGGTAATTTAGATTCGCTTATAGCAATTATATGAGGAGGTGATGGCAAATTTGATAATAGTGTAGTCAAATGATCTAAATTCTTTTGAAGGGAGCGAATATTCATATGAAAGATCACCAAATCAGATGATGTTTTGAATAGAGTTCCAAATTTACAACCTCTAAATTGTTGCACAGAAGATTATCACAGGAGAAACCTGATTGAGAATAACTACAGTGACCAGCCATTTAGATGACTAAGATTATATGAAAGTAATAATAAACAGATAGAAAACATATTATTTGACCAAGCCATGTATAGAAATAAAAATACATGAACAAAATTAAATAAACAAATAACCTTACTTGATTAAAGAAAGGTCATCGTCAGTTATAATGGGGATGGTGTTAGTCATTTGATTCTTTTTTATAAGTACTCTTCCATTGTGAGTCCATAAGTACCTATAACCACATTCATTCTTCAAGTTTCTGGCTTTGAAGAATAATTCTTTATTGGTATCAGTGAGGTTTTCAATCACAAATATTTTGGTAGATCTTGCAAGATGTGGAAAATCATCTTGAATGTTCGATGATCTGAGCTGGCGACGATTTTTCAAAATTTGGTGTCTTGTTTTTTCTGTTTATGAAGTTTACAATGATTGGCGATGGTTTTTTGTTGTTATATTTGGACATCCTGTGGCAGTTCGAGATGTCGAATGAACGCAGCGGAACATTAATTCGGGCTGCCACTTTAATGACCAGATTTTCACAATTTTCATCAGCTGCATATGGAATGTTATGAAATTCAAGATTGTTGAGTCTGGATCTGCGGTCTTGGTCTTGTTGGCGTTCTGTTAGAATATCAATTTCTTCTTCAAGATTTTCAACAATATTTTCGAGTTCACGAATTTTTTTGTTATTTTTAGCAGTAACGTTGTTTAGTTCCTTATAGTTGGCATTTAACTCGTCAAATTTTTTGGAGATGAAGTCTTGGCTTCTTTTTATATCACTAACTTCATCTTTTATTATGCTTATGGAAGATAGCTGAGATTTAACTTGCTTAAGAGACTCATCAAGCGACAATAAAGATTCCTGGATGCCGATGCTAGTTGGAGTGGTGGAAGATACATCCATAGCTAGTTTTTCCAAGTGTTGCTGTATGATTGTAGGTATTTCGAGCCTTAATGTTTTAAGCAAAGTGCTTTCAAGTACAGAGACTAAGTTAGAGACATTAGATTCTGTTATATTGGTAACTGTGGAAGAACTGGCAGCAACGCGATCTGTGGGACTTCTTCGCTTTGGTGGTTCAGGAGGAGTGTCACAGGATCTTGAGGATGACATCATGTCCGTCGCTGATTTCACAGATCAAAAAAGATGTTATGTTCCAATATTGCTGCAGGCTCAAGTTCTATTTCAGAAGTTTAACATTTCAGTGACAGAAAATCCATTGAAGACTATTATATTAGTTCAGTAGTTACTTAAGCTTATATCTTAATTATACAGCGAATAATGAATATTTATTTATAATACCTATTTATGCACACATTATTAACAGTGTTCACTCTAAGAAAATATTACGATGCGCAATTGTTAGTTTTAGTGAACATGAATATTTTAAGGCTGAGCAGAGTTCTGGATGATTTACAAACTTTGTGAAATATTACAACAACAATATGCTATTACATTGCGAACAATGTACGTACACATTTAACGGCCCTCCAGAAGTATGTACACCAGGACGACGGACACTCAAATGTCGTATATGTGCCAAGTTAGAATTAGACCATAATTTTATTTCAATTTCATTATTTTAGTTATATTACAAGTTTGGGGACTAGCCAAGTGACTTCGTAGTATTTATCCTTGAAATTATGGCCTAAACTTAACCTGGTAAACATACAACGTTTCGGTGTCTGCCATCTTGGTGCTGGTAGAGTACCCATTTAACTCAAAAAGCTTTTTCTTGTTTTCTGATTTTTAATGTTTATACATTTTGTCCATGGGCACCGGCCTACGCTAGAATTGTTAGCTTGGCTTAAAATAGCTCTGTCCTGACGATTAACCCTCTCCATGCAATTTTTATTAAATAATCGTATTTGCTACGCCGATTTTATGCATTTGTACCCCCACAACTAATCGACGACTAACGAAAAACTAATGATCCTCTGCTGCCCACTGATGTCTCGTTGGAAAGCTTATTTAAAGAGCTTGCAATTGGCGATTAAAAAAAAAAGTTTTTTTCAAAAGTGTGGTCTGAGTCACAAACCGGATAGAAAAAAGGCATTTTTTTTCTTGGGAGTTGAAACTTCAAACCGTGATAAAAAATAGAAATTTTCGCTAAATCCTTTACTGTTATCGCTTCGTGGTTGGCAAACAATAGCATAATATCGCTGTAGCAATTTCGTGATCTAACTCAAAATACTTTGGTAGATGGAAAGGATAATATGTCTTCTATTACCACCCAAAAAACACCGAAATTTGCATAAATTTCAAAAACACTCCCTCGTTCTGCGCAAATAAAATTCCTGCCGTAAACGAAAGCAAGATTTACCGTCGCTTATGTTAATCTCTAAGAAGACTTCTTATTAATAAACTAAATCCCGGAAAAACTAGACGAACAGTTTGCGACCGATTGCTAAATAAAACAGTGGAGTACATCAACGTACCCGCCGCAATCTAGCGGCTTTTGTCGTTGGTAAGTATACGTGCCCACCGCATGGAGAGGGGTTAAGGAGAAATTCAGGTACTGTACTTAGACGTAACAGTGCGGGTCCATAACTCTATTCAAAGATGAGTCTTCCTTAACTTTGAGTGAGTACTTGGTCTTTCACAACTGAGTGAGTGCCTGTGACTTTACTCAGAGATGATTCTCCTCTACATCTGAGTGAGTGCTTGTGACTCTACTCCAGAGATGAGTCTTCTTTAAATCTGAGTGAGTATCCATAACTTTACTCAGAGATAAGTCTTCCTTATCTTTGAGTGAGTGCCCGTGACTTTATTAAAAAAGAGTCTTCTTTACATCTGAGTGAGTGTCCATAACTTTACTCAGAGATGAGTCTTCTTTACATCTGACTAAATGAGTAGGTACTCATTTTAAATAGTATATGGACTTGAAAAAGCTCTCTACTGGTTAACCACTTGTACCTATATTTCAACATTTTTATGAGGTGACTCACTTATTCTTCGCAAACATGGTTCCCGATACACTAAAACTATTTTGGACGTGTAAGGTTCACACTGGTTCGGCTCTGAGTGAGTGCCCATGAATTTACTCAGATATGAGTCTTTTATATCTGAGTGAGTACTCATGACTTTACTCAGATATGAGTTTATTTTTCTATCTGAGTGCGGGTTCATAACTTTACTCAGAGATGAGTCTTCCTTATTTTTGAGTGAATGCTTGTGACATTACTAAGAGATGATTCTTTTCTACATCTGAGTGAGAGCTTATGACTCTACTCAGAGATAAGTCTTATTTACATCTGAGTGAGTACCCATAACTTTACTCAGAGATGAGTCTTCCTTACCTTTGAGTGAGTGCCTGTGACTTTATTCAGAAGTGAGTCTATTTTCATATCTGAGTGAGTGCCTGTGAATTTACTAATAGAGGATTCTTCTGTACATCTGAGTGAGTGTCCATGACTTCACTCAGAGATGAGTCTTCTTTACATCTGAGTGAGTGTCAATGACTTTACCCAGTGATGAGTCTTCTTCAAATCTAAGTGAGTGCCCGTGACTCTACTCAGAGATGAGTCTCCTTTACTTCTGAGTAAGTGCCTGTGACTTTACTCAAATATGAGTCTCCTTTACTTCTGAATGAGCGCCTGTAACTTTCCTCGGAGATGAGTCTTTTTTACTTCTGAGTGAGTTCGAGCAACTTCACCCAGAGATGAGACCCTTTACCTCTGACTGCCCATGACATTACTCAGATATGGAGTCTTTTTTATATCAGAGTGATTGTCCATAACTTTACCCACAGATGAGTCTTCTTTCCGAGTGAGTGTCACGAACTTTACTCAGAGATGATTCCCGGGTTAAGTTAAGTGATGGGTGCAAGGTTTAACAGAGTTTGCTCTAACTAAATTATAGGCGTATGGGTTTCTCACAAGCCAGAAATTGAAATAAGTCAAAACTTTCCATTAACTGAAAAGCTTGAATTGTACTAACTTAAAGAAAAGAAAGCTCGCATGCGCAAGTTTTTGTTATGAAAACTGATTTTTTTGTTTGGAGCTAGAGTCTGTTGTAAATTGACATGATACGTGGATTTAAGTGTTCACCTTAAGAAGATTAGGGGTGCATGCTTTCCTCACTAGCTAAAAAATGAACTGCAAAATTATGGCTCAATTTAGGAAAACAATGGTTGCTGGTGTTCACTCTAAAAAATTCCTGGGGCGTTCACAAAAAATATGGTGATCACTCTAAAAAAATAATGAGAGTGTATGTGCATCGCAAGTCGTGTAAAATTAAAAAAAAATTTAGTTTTCAGTGTTCACTCAGAGAAAATTATGAGTGTACGTACCCCCAAACCAAAAAACAAACTGAAATTCTGGATTCTAGTTAAATTTAGGAATAAATCTTGTTTCTGGTGTTCACTCTAAGAAAATTAAAAGCTCGAAATATAAACTGATATTTTGATTGAACTTGAACATTGCCAAATTTGAGGCACACAAATCGCCATCGTCTTGTTTTTTTATTTGGACATCTAAGGTCGAATATTGAAGCTATATTTTTATAATGCAATTCTGGTGCAACTCTTTCTATCTAGTGAGTTATTGATAAAACTGTTTCTGGAAAACGTTCAGTGAACTGTCTGATTGATTGAGACTATGTTTTCAGTAGTTTATGTGACTGGAAGACTCATCACAATAAAAATGTCACATACAATTGCATATATTTCGAGATTCGATTCAAACGGAATATTAGATTTGATTCTGAAATCATCAGGTAGGTTTAGGAAATCATCAGGTAGGTATTTAAAAATAACCAACCCCAGGAGTAATTCTTGTGCCATCTTTGCAAGACGAACAGACTGTAGCTCGGGAAATACCATAGTGATTTCAAGTCAGCTTCCCAGCCCTGTAATAAAACTCAGAATTTAGCACTGGAATTTCCTGTGCAAAATAGCTCCCACTATCCTGATGTAACATATAATTTTTTAGAAGCAGAAAGGAAACTCGAGATCATTGTGATTTCATGATCATAGCTGGCTCTGAAGAAATTCCAGTTCATAGGAATATTATATCTGTAGGATCTGATTATTTCAAAGCAATGCTGGCTCATAATGTAAGTTGTGTTTATTCATGTTATGTGTTATCTCAGCCATAAACTGTTTGAGTTAACTCTCTCACAGTAAGTACTGTTATCCTTGTTAATGTGGTTTTAATCATTGGTATTATCACACATCAGAATGCTGAGACAGAGTCTGGTAAAGTGGAAATGAAAGAAGTTGATCCATTATCCTTGCAACAATGCATAGAATATATTTACACTGGTGAATTGTCTACTAATGATGAAAATGCTGAATCTTTGATGTTTGTGGCTGAATTACTACAGTTGAGAGGTGATGATATAAAAATAGATCTCTCTTTTATATTGCGCCGAGGTTTACTCAATCCTCTGTGATTGAAAATACCTAGACAATCTCCCACAAATAAAGCTATTTGGTTTGCTTGGGCCTGAATTTCTATAGTTGTCCTGGCCAATTTCTCACTGAAAGGAAGAACTGTTTGTTTCTGATTTCATTCAGCTTGTTAATTAATCTGTAATATCTGTTATTAAGTTTTATTCATGCCAACCACTAAAAAAAAACAGAAGCCATATATCACTGAAATCATTCACCAAAATTTATTTAACGCTTGAACTTTGTTTATGTATGATTGTACCCAAAAGTTTTAGTAATCCAGGATGCTTCGAGGCGCAAAAGTTATGTTCTCTCTAAAAATATGTCTTAATTTAATATGGGTTCTGTTTTGAAAATTTGTAAGAGGTGTGAGGACTGGGAATTTGTGTGGAACAAATCAAAATGGATGTGTGCTTGCCCATAGATAAATGTATACTTACATATAATATATATGTTTGCTTTATGATAACAGATGTCTGTGAAGGCATCGTTGATTCACTTGAAGAAAATCTCGAATCGTCTTCGGAATCATTCTTTGTGACAAAAAGAATCGCAAACCTGTACAATTACAAAGAATTGATGGAAAAATGCGAGAAGTTCATGCTGGATAAATTTGATGAAATTGCAGTTCTTGATGAGTTCAAGGAAATAGAGGAAAAGGAATTTGTAAGATTGATGAAGTCACGAGAAAACAAGGTATATTTAGTTTTTTGTTTGCTTCACTCTGAACAAAACCTCGTACCTCAAGTAGCCACTCTTTTAGCGGGGTTTTGGATTCAAGCTGACCAAAATAAACTTACTATGATTAAATACAGCCACTCATTCGTGCATAACCGACCCTAATTCCTACTTGGCTTTGGATGATATAATAGAGCTGAACAAATAGACCCGGGCTCTTGATGTCAACATATCTGTTTCAGCTAGCTAACCACGGACTTGTTTATCCTATCAATATTTGAGCAATTAATTTAAGCACCCCACTATCTCAGTTTAAAGCATGAGTGCTAAGCATTTGTCGCTAAATGTAAGATATTGTTTTATATTTACATATTCTGTATTCTTTCTTTGCGTTTCCTTTCTAGGCATCAGAGAGTGTCAAGATAGAGGCTTTGATATCTTGGATAAAATATGAACAAAGAAATCGCAAGAAAATTCTGAAGCAATTGAACAACTACATTGATTTGCATAAAGTACCGGTGACTTACAGAAGATTCCTTGTTGAAAACGAGGTAGGGTATATTTAAATTGATGATATTGAAAAATTCATTTCACAACAGATAAGTGACTTCAAGTATATTATTGGGATTTTATCTGACTAAGTGCTCAGGTGGAGACAAGACTAAATTTTCTTCAACCCAGAATTGGAGTAGTTTTCAAATGAGTTTAGGATCGAGTGTAGACTTTACAGTCCTACTAATGATTCATTGACATTATTCTATATTTCTGCAAAAACTATTTTTCTTACATCATTCAATATTCATTGAATTAACTCATTTTGATTATTTCAGCCAATGGTGAAGTCATGCTTTGAATGCTATCAAGCTCTATGCATTTCCATGTTGGACAGCCTTAATATTGGTGCCTCAAATGTTCATTCTGCGGAGAATATAAAACAAGAACTAAAGGAAGCAAGTGAGTTGAATTTAATTTTGGAGAATATAGATAATCTTTCGTCATTTAAAACTTAGAAACTTACCCAACTGTAGATTAGTTCTAACTTGAACGATGCTATAGTCGACTGTCTTTGTTTTTCTTTTTTGATACAAACTTTATTTCTTACAGTTGTGGTGTTTGATGACAACTCAAAGAGCCTTCAATGCTTTGATCCTCGGAATAATACTTGGACAAAAATGCAGGTTGGTATTGCATAACCTTCATCTCGGGTATATTTGTCTAATAGTACTATACATCGAAAATATTTCACAATAATCTCCATTATTACTCAGATGGTAAAAAGTAATGCTAGAAGCTTTTGTTTTTCTGCGATTGGATTCCAAGATGTGGTTGGGATAGTTCGCTTTGAACTAAAGCAAGCCCACATTTAAAAATGACATGTCTTTGCATAAGCTCTGAGATATTTGAATGTAAATGAGAAAATAGGTGAAGCTAGCTCATTAAACAGGGGAGGATTTTCCAAGGAATCTTGCATAATATTTCGGAGGCCATGTAAGTCAACATATCTTTCAGAACAGTGTTTTTCAACCGGGTTGCCGCGGCACACTGGTGTGCCGTAAACTATAGTCAGGGGTGCCGTGGGAAATTTTTCCAATTTGTACGTTCATGCGATGTAGCGCCCGGCAGAGTAATCATGTAGTACTGTTCTATACGTGAAGGTTACATTACATCATCGCTTATATTAACAATTTAACACTTATATTGTGAACATCAGGTCTTTTCCCCACATTTTCAGCTGGTGGTGTGCGGCAGTATTTTCTCAATGAAAAAAGTGTGCCTTGGCTCGAAAAAAGTTGAAAAACACTGTCTTAGAACAGCGGGTGTCGGCTTTCAAAGTGATTTAAAGTGACAAATTAATAATTATTCGATTAGGGTTAGGGTCAGAGATAGATTGAAAAGTTGAATTTTCAGCGCAATTTGCATTCCTAACCCTAATTGGATTAGTGCGAGATTAGTTTTTCGCAAGCATTGACCCGATGGTGGAGGAAGCCGTAACCGACCAGCGGTTACGTGAACCACCATACGGAGGCGATGAGTCCAGTAGAGAGAGAGAGAGATTTTTTTATCATAAACAATGTCAACACTATAAAACAGGGTGGTCCAAACCGCGGCCCGTGAACATATTCGGTGCGACCCGCTGAACAATTTGAGTTATTTTTAAACTATTCCAACTGGGGAAATTTCTGGAATGATGTTTATTAAGATCACGGAATTTTAATGTTGTATCTATAAACGTGAAGACGGTTCCAATATGGGAATGACGACCCTTGATCGGTACAAGGGAATAAATTGTCTTGTGCAGACAGGACCAAACCGATTAGATGAGCCGTGCTTTTTATCAAATCTTCGTACCTTATGCTCGCGTCAAGTAACATTTGGAGAGGTGTCTTGTGTCTTTATTTTAGTAAAATCACTCTTCTATTTTCAAGCGTTGGCCAAGATACCAAAAATACCACTGCATTTCTCAGGAAGCAGTTTTAAAATAGCCGAAGTTTCCTTAAAAAAATTGATTAGATCGGTGAATTCTAAATATTTTTAAAGTGAGTAAACTCGCGATGTTTTGATCAATTTTGAGTTTTTTCCGACTGCGGACCACCAGATACTCTTAAAAGTTTTTGCGACCCTCCAACCTCGCAACCTTGGACCACCCTGCTGTAATACATTTAAGCAACACAAAATATAATTCAACCATAATTGATTGATCAATAATTGTGAGGGTAAGTTTGGTCACCGAGTAGGGATGCCACTTTTGGATTTACGAATAGAATCGATTCGAATCAGATTTACGCGATTAAAAAAAAAAGAGAACGATTTACAGAAAAAAAAATTGAACGCTTGTTAAATCGTTTTTTTTCGGCGGCCTTAAAACTGTCGAATGCGTTTATGCGGCACTCCAAAAAAAAAGCAATTACCGGACCGAAAGAAAAACATTGAACGTTTGGTATTCGTTGTTTTCGGCGGCGTTAAAACTGCCCAATGCGTTTATGCGGCACTCCAAATACCACCAAATTACGGGACGGAAATAAATGGAAATGAATTTTCTCGTGATTGACTTTTTTACTTATCTGACGTCATTAGTTTCAAGTTCGGCACAACACAATCTTTTACGCATCACTCGAGATGATGTGTGGCGTTATTTCCATCAAACTGCGAGTTCAGTTTTCGACTGAATAGCATAAGTTTCTATTATGCGCGAATTTAAATGGATCGTATACATGAAAATTCGTGACAATTTGATCGATGAAAATTTTCAACAGCACACCTGCGCAGCGACTAAGTTATTGTGCGCCTTGGCATGATTGGATAAAGAATCAGCTACCGACGTCTAGATAATACTTAATTTTGATTGAAATTTAATTTAAACTTTGTTCTGAGTAAAAAGATTTTGCGTACATTTGAAGAGAACTATTACTGAATGAGTTCATCTGTCGGCAATATTATTTGAAAATCATGTTTCTCATCCTAAAATATATATTTATTAGTTTGCTTTTGTCAGGCTTCCACTCGAGTGGCGGTAAACAAAATCAGGGGGACATAATGTAATAGTACATACACGTCTTTTTCCAGCTGTTACAAAATAAAAGTACTATTTACTTTTAACTTTGTTAGCGCGATATAAGCGGGAATAAAACATTCGGGATTATTTCTAGCAAATGTCATAACGGACAGGTGGGAGTAAATAATACTTGAGGAATGGCAACTTTGCACTGTTTTACATCAACACGTGCCAGATTTCATAGCAGGCCAAGCATACTGTGCGAATGTCGTCTTACTTTAGCCCCAGCGACCATGTTTGATCGAGATGAAGCGTCGACCAATTATTGCTTGTCAGCGCGGCGTCCGTTATGCACATTTGGACTTTCTGAATTACAAAATTAAACATAGTCCACGATAATAATGAAGCCCGAGTTAGCCAATAACGCTGTTAGCCACAAATAATATTGTCTTTAATATTGATGGAAATTTTTGTTCGCAATTGTAGTCCGGTGAACGATTGTTTTTCTAGAAATAAATTTAATTTAATCATGGTTAATTTTATCGTCTTCAATGATATTCTTGCAAGCAAATCCCATTTATAGTAATTCAGATGCAATTAGAATGTTTTTGTCGTATTACTCTATGCTGCTCGCATAAATATAAAATATTGCACTAAAACTGATAAATAATCGGTAATAAGTAGTGTTAGTTCGGATACCTATAATTCATACTATCCGGATAACGGATATATCCGGGTATTTCGTATTTTAACTATCCGGTTAACCGGATAGTCACTGCTAACTTCAGAAAACCGATTTCACAAGATTTTTGCGGCGAATTGACTAAAAACCCACCACACAGTTTTATTGTAAATACGTACATATCTATTATTTAGCTCGAATAAAAATGATTGTGCATTTTGATGTTGCATGTGTCAATAAATAAAAATTTGAGCTCTGTAATCGTACAAAAGTACAGCTGAATAATATAATGAAACATTTTTTTAAATACTGTGTCCTAATTGTCTTTCCCTCGACTGCTAAGTCATTTTCTCATATTCGAATCCTTTGTCAAAATTTATATTATTATTTTTTTTATTGTTAAATTTTTTGGAATTTTTTTTTGTGTCTTGAGCATATTTCATTTAAATTTTGACTCGTACTAGATTTTGGTGTCGCAGACTTACGATGACCATTTCTTTAAGCTTTTAAGTTCAATTAGTTTAGAATAGATTTATTTTGGCTGGTATATCTATTGATTCGGTTGATACATAGAAATTTGAAAATACATATATACCAAAGTTAAAAGCAAGCACATAACATTTGGTCGTGTACTCAAAATTTTGAAATGCTACACAGATTACACGGAATCGGAAGTGTTGTGAAATAAGTCCTCAAAATTCAAACTGGTTTACATCATGATGAAATGCGTTCCTTCAATACACGCAACAACTAAAAGCCACACCTGACGAAAAAGCAACAAACTCACACCCACCCAACCAATGCTTTTCAACTGAATTCGTTTAAGTTGGTCTTGCTTAAACTGTACCTCCAGTTCAAATCTAACTTTATAAAGCAAATGAGCTCTTCTAATAAGCGCAGAATTCACATTTGTTCTGCGTGTTTTGTGATGTAATAGTGAAGTTCACTAGAGCATTCTACGGATGGCTAAAATATAGGCAGATTAGAGTGGAAAAAGTTGTTATTATATGCTCTGGGAGATGTCAGTCGCCACTCAACAAAAAATATAAAAATCGCTAATGCGCATATGCATTATTCATACTTCTTCATTATCCGGTTAACCGTCACAATAATATCCGGATATCAGATAGCAAAATACCTCTTGGTTAACCGGTTATCCGGTTAACCGCTATCCGGATAATCCAACCCTAGTAATAAGGTTGGCCTTCATTCAATATAACAAAAAGTGAAATACTACAGTAACATATACTGTTGTTGGACTAGGGAAAGCCGTGCTGTTACTGTGTTTATGACATAACAGTACAACTGTTCCCTGCTTATTTTCTCATCTGAGTTCCATCAAATTGCCCCAGTCCTGATACAAGTATAACACAATAATAACTGGGTATTGTAAGACTCACAGATAAGTTGCAACAGCAAGTTTTTCATCAATGCATTTATTGGTGATATCTATGACCTACTTCTTTTTTATCATGGTGGAAATAAGTGTGGCTTAACAACCCTTACCATCCTTGCTATATAGCGTATTCCATTTTCAAGTTTTTCTCTTCTAGATTTGAGCTTTTTGTGACATTGAGCAAACATACTCATTCGAATAAAAAAAAAGCTTAATGGAATCAGATTCGGAAAGATTTGATTCGAAAATTTTTAATTCGAGATTCGATTCGAAAAAAAAAAAATGTATCCAGAAGTGGCAACCCTATACCGAGGCTCCTGGCCCTTGCTGTATATTAGTAATCAATCAGATATAGCTTCTAAGTCCAGCAATTCTCTCGCACATAACCATCCCGGCATTGAGTTCGCACACGTGGACAAGGACTTTTTAAGACAATTATTTAAGCGGGATTAGATTCTCTCATCCCGCCACACTCATTTATTTTTATCTACATTTGACAACGATTTCTTCAATGTAATATTGTTTATTGAAATTTTTTAGAACATGCCTGGATTAAAAAATGACGTTTCTGCCGTGGCTCTTGGTGCCTACATTTATGTTCTCATGAAAGATAGATCTGTTCATCGACTGAAACACTCAGATCATGAAGCTACTTGGGAGAGAATGAATGATATGATGTATGAACATGGGCAGTGTCCTCCTGTTGCTGTTTTGTCTGGTAAGAATTGCTTCAAAAAATCTTTTACTAAACAATATCTTGTTACCTCTGCCAAACGGCTAGTAATTGAGTAATTGCGCTGTCTTGTTTGGCATGAAGTTACCTCAAGAATTCTTAGTACTGGTCTTTTTAAGAATTTAATGGAAAACATATTTTAAGATCATGTGGTATCTAATTCCAGTTCAGCCGTGTATTGTAACTATATCACTTCATTGTGGGTGACCCAAAATTTGTGCACAAAATACTGATTTTTTTCCTGATTTGTAAAACTTGTCACTTAATCAAAGTGTACAAATGCAAATTATATTTTCATATTAACACCATTGAAGAATTATAACACAATCTATTTGTGTAAGAAATAGTAGTTGTTTTGTAAGATCATATATTCGAGTTCAGGAAAATAAATACAAAAATTGCAAAAATAGTTAGGATTGAGTTACTTTGCTAAAACACACAGATCCGGAATTGAACGACCAAAGGACTTAAGTTGATTATACAACACACCAACACTCCTGTTTTAAGATTAGTAGTTTATTTGTGTTTGTATATATCCCATGAAAACTTTTTTTTATTTTTGGTTAATGTTTTGTCTTCCATTTCTATTGTCTTATCTATTATTATGACATGATTTATATTTGTATAAATACCACGAGTTTGCTTTGCCTTAAGACAAATAGTTCTTTACTTTATCTTCTATTATTTTTCAAGTATCATTTGCTTTCTATCATTGTTCTGTGATATGAATTGTTTACAGGAAACCTCTACGTTGTTGGTTTTTTCAATAGTTACTCAAAATCAGTTGAAAAGTTCGATCCATCAAGCAACAAATGGGAAAAAGTAAAAGACAAAAATCTCAACTATGCAAATTCAACAGCACTGGGTGCTGAAGGTTAGAAGCTGTTGTCTAATAAATAAATGGGTACTCCCGAAATATGTGAATCAAGATAACGGACACCGGAACGTAGTATGTGTACCAGGTTGGGTTAGGCCATAATTTCAGGTACAAATACTTGGATAGCCACCGCATCTCTGATTACTCTTCGTGGGATCGCAGATCCGATTTCCATGCGGGGATGATCATGTGCGAGAGAATTGCTGGACTCCTCGCCGCCGTAGGGTGGTTCACGTAACTGCTGGTCGGTTACGGCTTCCTCCACCATCAAGTCCATGCTTCCGAAAACAAACTAATCCCATAACGGTACCCGACATGGACTGGTAACCGGACGAGAGGCCGTGGTTCGCCATATGATTAAGCCGTCTTATTGGTTTTCCTTTCCTCCGGGATAAATATGTAAATCCTATCCTTTGTCCTCGAATAATAGAACTAAAATAGGGAAAATTGGAATAAATTATGGCCTAAACGTACACATACTATGTTCCGATGTCCGCCATCGTGGTTCACATACTTCGGGACCACCAATAAATGTCATCTCGAAACAGGCAGTCATACAATAGGGTAATAAATCGAATTGTCGTTGGACCATATAACCAACTTAATAAATCTAGCTGGACCAATAAATGCTCTGCTTTACAGTAATAAAGGCATCGGACAAAACGGCTAAGTATTTAACACATTAAAAAGAACATAAAAAACATTTTACCCATGTGGGCGACTATTTAAACATGAACTGCAGGATTAACTCTTTATGCTTGATGGGGAAAAATGAGCAAAAAAGTGTTGACAAGGGCCACACTAGATAGCTTTGCGGACACTAAATAGCTTTGTCTGTTGCAAACCCCTGGTCTAAACCAAACAGGAAAAAATTCCGTTTTTCACTGACCAGTAGGTCGTTTTGTATCAGTGGTTGCTTTGTTTTTCGAAGCAAATACACTTACGGTAAATATAAAATGACTGCTAACAGATATCGGATTTATCAGTTTGTCCTAAGTTTTCATCGAATACCAGAATGCAGAAAACACTTGAAAGTAATAATCCTTGTATAATTCCAGGTTGTATATACAGCATTGGTGGCTATGTATCAGGTCGTTACACCAACCAAGTAGAAAGATTTGACCCAACATCATCAACTTGGTCATTTGTTGCATCCTTGAATGAGGCAAAGAGCTATGTTGCAGCTGTTGAAAATGAAGGAAAAATATATGTTCTAGGTAGGTTGGTGTTTGTTGCTAAAAATGTACGAGGACTCGAGAAAAAAAGATTTAGTTTTATTAAAATAGCAATTAACCAGAAATTTCAATGATTGTGCTTCAAGATATCAAATGCAATGCCATTATGTTTAAGCATCGTCATGAACTACTAATATTCCATTCATTTTCTTCTGCAAGATCGCAGAATTATATTGTTATGTGGCAAATCATGTTCAAATGTTTGTATACCTATATATCTACACGAATGCAAAGGTCAATCCAATTGCCGTGTAAACTGTAAACTTATAAATACATTTGGTACTGTTGCGCCCTTCTTACTGGAAATATTAACCAGTTAGTGTTTGGAATTAGGAGTGATATTCAGACATACCAGGTTCCAAAATCTTCAGTTCAGGCTAGTTCAATTTCCCGCATTATATTTATCACCTTGCAGTGGTTACCTGCAATCATGTTAGTTCACTATTCTCCCTTCATATTTATTTATTGCTTTGTTTTGTATAGGTGAAATTGTCAATAGATGGATAAACATTGTTTTGTATCATTTAGGCAAAATTGCAAGCAGATTTTAACAAACTGTTTATTTCATTCAGGTGGAAGCGCAAAAATTCACTTGACAACTGTTGAACGATATGATGATTCAACGAACGTGTGGTCCACTGTAACTCCCATGTTAACTAAACGTAGCTGGTTCAGTGCTTTTGTGATTGATTCAATTATTTATGCAGTTGGAGGAAAAAAAAGGTAGTGTTATTGAAATTTATTTCAACATAGTGGGGAATAGTGTCTTCTGTTTCTGGAGATTTTGTTCTGAAATACCCATTTACAAAGAAGAATTTGTTCCCCTGTATTCACTGGTTCTCAAACAGTGGGTCATGGCCCACTGCTGGGCCATAAAGATATTTTAAAGTGGGCCACAAGCCTATTTAAAATTACTATGGTTATTGAAAAGTTTAATTTCATCTGTTTCATTATAGTCAAATTTTTACTGTAGAAGCAATAAACGATGCTGCTGCTTCTTATTTTAACTATTAAAGTGAAAAGATATTCTTTTTTGCCAAAAGAATCTTGTTTTTTTTGTAGTTTTTCCCTTGCATGAGAAGTTTAGTGGACCACAGAATTTATATAAAACGAAAGTGGGCCATGAAAGAAAAAAGGTTGAGAACCACTGTATTACTATAAGCATGAGGCCCATCTAGCCAGAGTCCAGACTATATTGACAATGCTTACAGAATAAACAGAAGTCTTTACATTTTTTGTGAATATATTCATAACTTTGGCTAGATAAACGCTGTTGGTTTGAGCTTAATTCTTAGTGCAGATAGAAGAAGCAGTATATTTATATATATATTTAACATAGTGAACATTAGTGTCTTCTGTTTCTAATGATTTTGCTACAAAAAAAATGTTTGTTTCCTACATCCATCACTGCAAGCTTGTGACCAATGTCTATGTTTGTTTCGTCGACGATTACAGAATTCTTCCATTTTTTTTTGTAAAAATATTCATAGCTATAGCTGGATAAAAGAAAGGAGTATATTTATAATGCCGACTAGGAGTTTTGTATCAGTCTCTCACGTGCGGTATCCGGCCATTTTTAATTTTTCAAACCTAGTCGAGTCAATATAGAAATTGAAAATGTTTTTTCAATTTTACTTCAAACTAGTTGTCTTGCAAAACTGAAATAGTCTTCGTTATAGTCTTTGTTGTATTTTTCAGTTCACCAGGAAGCATGGAGAAGTTTGATTCCAAGAAGAATCAATGGGAGATGATTGACGTGAAGAACATGAATCTGAGGATACTCGATGCAGTGAAGATTAATTTGAAGTGATTTGATTGTATGTGACAGAGAATAGTTAGTTACCATTAAAGGACATACCTGTAGTTTATGTTTTAATCTTACTATTATGAAATTGTGTGATAGATATTTGACATTCAATGGACGCTTGTATTATCACTTAGTAAATTGTGTATACTTCTATAATAAGTTCCTGCATTACTTATTGTAATTAATGTATATAGTTTCCTTAAAAAAGTAATTGTTCAATGACTTCGCCCATAAACCTCAACTCACTGGACATAGCCAGTGGCCAATAAAAATTAGGTTGATTTATTATTCCTATTCAGTTTAATGCCATTGGATATTATCTGGGTATTATATATTGTCTTGTGCATTCTTCAAGCGGTTTCTTCTTCAAAAAATTTACTTATCATTTATTGATTGAAGTGTATGAATGGAATGCAATTTATATATTAGCAGATGCCTTTTTCCGCATAATATAATATATTCATTATAGTTTTCCAAGTTCGTCTTTATTATCCAGTGCATTGATGCTTCAAATTAACCCTTTTTCAGTGCTATCTGCACAATACTTATAATCCGCAGTATTCATATTTGTATGTTTGTTGTGGTAACTATGGTACATAATGAATTTAGCTTTCAATATATGATAATGATTTGAAATATTTTCATATTTGCTGTATATTTTATCGCTCATATGCAATCAATACTTTACTACCATGCATCTAACGCTGAATTCAAATTTTTTTTTATCTGATTTTAAAATCCACTGCATGATTTACTGCTCTGTCTTTTTAATCACATAGTTTGAATTGATTACGTTTGATGCATTCGCATTCCAAATGTTTGAACTTTACATTGTGACAAACCTTTATTAAATAAACTAAGAATTAATTAATTTGTCCATTTCTCAAATTCCACGTCAATTTGGAGGGGAACGGAACCGCATTTAGGAGAAATGAGCAAATTAATGGTATTATTATGTCATAAAAGTTGAGACCGTATTAGTGCCAACAGCTGTACTCCGACATACTACACCGCTTTTCATTTATTGATAGATTGAATTAAAGCCGATTTTCTTATAAATTATCTCTGGAATTTTAGCATGTTTTTGCATTAATTTGTGACTTGGTGAGTCACTTGTCAGTGGTTAATCATCATCGCTATATGTTAATACAAGCGATCGATGTTGATTTGAAAAAAACATTCGAGACCAATTTGCTTGGGGAAAGAAGTTCGCCTACGTCCGACTTGTCCTTTTTGTTCGTTTACGTCCGAATTTAAAAACTATTTCCTATTATTCGATAATGTATTTTTACACGAAAATATACCGCAATATTGGTTCGGCAATGTGTCGCATCATGCCAAGCGTTAGAGATACGACCGAACCATCGGTTGCCCTTCATGGGTTTGCAGGTTCGGATCACAGTCACAGCCATATCGAATACCAGAATCGTGAATTTTTATTGGGAGGAGGAGAAGTTTATAAAAACGGAATTCAGTAAAATATCTGTGAAATAGACACAAAGAGGCAACATTTCGTCGATGGGATTAAGTTTGCAGTACGAACGCCAATCATATCTGATTTTCTTGTTTGAATTCGGCCTACCGGGTTTAGTATTGTCTGTTACACCAGCCCAAATATAGCAGCAATATTTCACGCAGTAAGGAGTTACAGTCCACAAATGAAGTATGAACACTTTACTCAAAAATGTTTGATCGGAATATTTTCATTGCAGCATAAGACGGTAGTGCTTGTCACGTCAGGAATAGGGAAGTTCAGTCGATTATATTGTCCTAACAATTAGGTAAAATGGATTTATGAGATATATATGCAGGCAACACAAAGAGCGAAACAATGTTTAGTACAGTGTTTCCCAACCCGAGTCCGCGGTCTCAAATGAGTCCGCGGAGCGTTTGAATGAGTCCGCAGCGAGCCAGAAATTCGCAATTTAAGTTAGAATTTACATAAAACATAAAATAGACAATAAATTTATTTCGTCGTGCAAGAAATCACAACACAAAATCAAAATAGGAAAAAGTAATTATGCGTTACAGTAACGGATTTCATTGCAATTACCTGAAAGTCGCGAAGGACCAGAGATGGTCATCAAAAGTCTGCGACACCAAGATTAAAAACGAGTTAATAAAAAGGCAAGTTTATTCACATAACAATATTTGAGACAATAATTACTGGTTAATGAGTAGGACTGGACATATATTCGAATACTCAACTATCAGAATAGCAATTTACTATTCGAAAATTTGGTAACAGATGACGCGTCGCCCGATCAAACGATTGGATTTCCCAACTCACTTGCGGATTTCCGACGAAAACACGAGTCTGCGCACGCTTCGATAGATACCTTAGTGGTGTTTCTCGAGAGTTCGAACAACGAGGAATAATTATTTTTTTTGTAGGTGTCAATGGTGGCAATTCAAATTTTTTAAATTGAAAAGCGGCAATACAAAATACTAAAAATTAAACAGAGAACACCATAAGTTTTGTTTTATTATGGTCCGCAACCGATTAAAAACGCTTTTTTAGACATTGCAAATCGCAAAATTTCGGGTGCTACCCAGTGGTGGGATTCAAATTTTTTGTCAGCCGGTTTCATCACAAAAGTCATGTTTTTTGGCCGGTCCTGTTACATGTTTTTTTAGTAAGGCTTACCGGTTCGCTGATCTCATAAATTCCGTGAGACGGTTCTATAGAACGGGGTGGAATCGGCTGAATCCCACTACTGGTGCTACCGTAGTATACGTACCAGGGCATATTTCCGTAGGATTCCTTGCTTTACTGTGTCCACATTGGTACGTACAGTACTGGAACGCCAAAAGTGTTGTACGAACAGCTCAGATTTGTCGAATTGACAAAAATACGAATCAAAACAAAATATAATCGGGCACCACCACGCGTTGCTTTTATTATACAACTGCAGATTAAAATCACCACAATTAAATTAATAGTGAAGCAAGGCGATGAATTTGTATTTTTGATTTACTAATATACTTTAAATATATTTTTAATAAGTGCTCAAGTTGTACTTTCTGGAACTTTATAGCAGATAGTAGGATTTTTCTAACAGCGATAACAAATTCGCAAGATCGCAAAAAATATGTATCAAAACTAAATATAATCGGGCAATATCATTCTCACATTATTATGTTTGCAGATTGCCGTGGCCTTTTAAAGAAGTAATGCTTTCATCTTGTCGTAAGTCGACGCAACCGTGGGTTACCATTGACGAAAAAGGTTCTAATAACGATAGCCTGCCAGTACATTTGTTAGTGGACTTGAGTTTCCATTGCAAGTATACAAGAAAGATTGCATTAGTGTGAAAAATATCGGTGGCTAAGTTGTGTGATTTCCTTGATTGTGTGATTTCCTATCGATGTTAGAGCAAGACCGGCAACACGTCTAAATCAGATAAAGGTAATCTCTGTTGCGGTCCAAAAAATATAACACATAGGAAATCTTCAAAATGAGACATGAAGGTACTACATACACAAAAAACAGAATATTGGAAAAAAATAGTCTTAAACAATTTATTCTCCCGCGTATCTTGGATTCTAATAAGGGCCGTATTCTGAAAAGCAACTTGAGCACCCAGTCGGACTTGACTTGGATGTGAGTCGGACTTAGGTGTAAAATCGGTATTAAGAGACCAAACTCGAGTTTCGAGAAGGGCTCAAGCTCAGCTTGAGGGGCTTCAAGTAGGCCTACGACCTGGAGCTGGCTTGGTATTCAAATACGCACAAAGTAGTAAATTAAAAGATACGAATTTTGCCATTTCGAGTTGGAACCTCGAGTCTGGTCAGGGTCTGCTCGACATCGTACTTGGGTATGGCTAAATCGCATTGTAGTGCTCGGTGAGTTGTGGCCAGGCAGATAACATTGAAAATGGATGTGTTATATGTCGCAGAAGTTGCGGAAATGGTCAGACGGCATACCGGACCTCGTAGTAATCAGTAATTTATTTCTTCACCAAGCTGAAAGTACGAATTATACATACACAAATAAAGGAAATATAAAAGACCGCATTCCAGGGTGAAAGGAGACGCCGAAAACCAATTCTGGTTATCGAGCGGCGGCACCCTCGGGGAAGTCTAACAAAAACGTGATAAATATAATTAAATCGAACAAAAATATATTACTTAATAAATAAATAAAGAGACGCAATCGATGCGTCAAGGCGACCCGGTAAAAACCAAGCAATCGCCGTTTAAAAATAGGAAAATCGACTCCATGCACCACAGTCTAGGTAACCATGGAAATTATTAAGTGAACCAAACAGATTAGATACCTGAAAGATCAACAAAATCCACTTGGGATTTTGACCGATGTACAGTTTGTTGATCGTTACAGACTCACAAAAAACGGCGTGGTAAACTTCATGGCTTTTTTACACGAAGACCTAGCGAAGTCAACAATACGCTACCACCACTATTGAAATGCACCGTCCTGCTCCGTTTTTACGCAACTGGGTGCTTCCAGGTTGTATTGGGAGACCTTGAGGAGTTTCTCAGCCAACTGTTAGTAGACTGGCTGACCAACAAAATGTTCGAACGCAGACGATCAAGTTCTATCAGAAATCTGGATTTCCAGGCGTAGTTGGCGCGTTGGACTGCACTCGTATAAAAATCCAGTCTCCTCTAGGTCAGCCCGCTGAACTGTTCAGAAACCGTAAGGCTTATTTTTCTATTAACGTTCAAGCGGTGTGTGACGCAGACATGCTTCTCATGGATGTTGTCGCGCGCTGGAGAGGTTCAGGTCACGATGCCAGAACTTTTGACAACAGCTCTTTGCGGGAAAAGTTTGAAAACGAGACATACACAAATATGCTGGTGGCGTACAACGGTTACGGATGTAAACTTTACATTATGACGCCATTCCCGACGTGAAGCTGAGCAAAAATTTAATAAATCTAGAATCACCATAGAACGCACTTTTGGGGTTCGAAAGAGGGTCTTTCCTTGCCTTTCTATTGGACTTCGCACCGAGATGGACACCACGTTGACAATCATTTTGCGACTGCTGTACCTCAAGTGCCACAGATGAAAATAACAGCTCTTTGTCAAAAGCGTGTCAGACCGCAGAAAAATGTAAGCAAGTAGCATCATCATTTTGGTTCTCTGGCATGAAATAACACAAGTGAACAGACAAACAAAACACAGAGAAAAATTGAAGTCGAGCATAACTTAAAAAAATAGAGTTGAAAAAGTACGCACCTACCCACCAAAAAAAGAATTATCAACAATAAAAGCACACAGAAG